TGCTAGTTATGGGTACTTTTTACTGAAGTACATTTCAAAGCCTCTTTACTTTGACTTGAGGAAAGAAGTTTAGTCAGTACTTCTACTTTTACCAGAGTATTTTTAAACACGAGTATCTGGACTTCTACGTGAGTAAAGGATGTGTGTACTTTTGCCATCTCTGCTTGTATACATCAACATGTGTCCCCTCTTCTCCATGTCTCTTCTACATCAACATGTGTCCCCTCTTCTTCATGTCTCTTCTACATCAACATGTGTCCCCTCTTCTTCATGTCTCTTCTACATCAACATGTGTCCCCTCTTCTCCATGTCTCTTCTACATCAACATGTGTCCCCTCTTCTTCATGTCTCTTCTACATCAACATGTGTCCCCTCTTCTCCATGTCTCTTCTACATCAACATGTGTCCCCTCTTCCCCGTGTCTCTTCTACATCAACATGTGTCCCCTCTTCTCCATGTCTCTCCTACATCAACATGTGTCCCCTCTTCTCCATGTCTCTTCTACATCAACATGTGTCCCCTCTTCTTCATGTCTCTTCTACATCAACATGTGTCCCCTCTTCTTCAAGTCTCTTCTACATTAACATGTGTCCTCTCTTCTTCATGTCTCTTCTACATCAACATGTGTCCCCTCTTCTTCATGTCTCTTCTACATCAACATGTGTCCCCTCTTCTCCGTGTCTCTTCTACATCAACATGTGTCCCCTCTTCTTCATGTCTCTTCTACATCAACATGCGTCCCCTCTGTGGAAAGAGACTCTGAAAGTTTCAGGAACAAAGATTCTCTCTCTTTTTGATCCATTTCTATAAAAACCTGTCTGAAAATGAGCTGATCAGATTTTGGCCACTTTGTGATGTCATAACGATGTTTTGTCTTGTGTAACCATTAGCCAATCAGGCTGAAACAGAGGGGATTATGGGTAATGCTGCAATGATCTGTTTGGTGTTTCAACTTGGGACATTTTGGTGTCTGTTGTACCAGAGAAGAAGAAGGCATTTAGTAGTAAATTAAAGTCTCTATGAAAGCAATGGATGTAGTCAGCATGACTTTTGTTTGTTTGTTTTGAAGCCACAAGTTGGGCAATTTAGCAATCAGCAAATTAGTTTTTGTTGAAGAAGTGACATTCGAGTCTTGTCCCAAAAGAGTTATAATATATAGTTAAAATATATTGACTTAATAATTAAATTATGTAAGAAGTTGCCACATTGACTTCTATACAATCTGACTTATTGCAAATAGAAGTGTCGCCCCCTGCTGGATATTAAGAGAATGCAGATTTAAGGCATTTCTGCATTAGCTCTATTTTCCATAGCCCGGAGTTGCCAAAAATAATGCCCATTTACTTTTTTCTGCTATAGCTAGGGTGCTTTAACCTTAGCTTAGCATAAAAGACTATAAGCACCGTACAAAGGTCAAGTAAATCAACCAACTAGCATCTCCTAAACTCACTAATAACAACTTCAATCTTTTTGGGGAACATTTACTGAAACATGTTCGGGTGTTATTGTCGTTGGCCTAGCTTTACGGTACTTTTGATTTAGTGTTGTGTATATTTCAGTGCCTGGAGCAGTGCTTCCTCGCTGAGGGGAATGGGCTCCCTCTGGATATATTACACTCTGATGAGTACAAGGTGAGTAAGCTAAAACACAAAGCTAAGTCCACATTTCCTCAGACTAAAATGAAAAAGAAACATAGTCTTTAATATAATTTAATGTTCTTCTCCGATGTCTCCAAGGCTCTCAAAGCTCACCTGTCTCACAACTCTCTGAGCAGCTGGAAGCTTGTGGAGAAGTTTCTGGAAGGGAAAGTATGGGAGCAGGTGAGAGATGCAGAAAGCTTATTTAACCCCGACATGATAGCGGTTCAGATCTTCAACCAGTTTTTTCTTTATATACGACAGAAAGTGTACAACGGAGAGAAATATGGAGCGGTCACCCTCCTGGCGTCGTACAGGAGGTCAGACCAGAGACTCAGGATCGAGGTGTTGAACGCCATGAACCTCCTACCAATGGACTCTAATGGTAAGACAAACACATTATAGAGTGGAGCAGGAATTACGTATTCTTTAAGTGAACCCTGAAGGCAGCATCTCCAAGGTTCCCTCCACAAAAATCCAATTGGATTTTGGATAATTGCAGGAAATAACCTCCACGTTTATGATTTGTTCAGCAGGATAATCTCCACATATTAACACCACTTTATGATTTTTGAAGTCAAGAGCTAATGTTGGGCTATAAAGGAACTACAGCACGGTCACATGACTTCACGTCACCACCGCTAAGCTAAAGGTGGCTAATGTTGGGCTATAAAGGAACTACAGCACGGTCACATGACTTCACGTCACCACCGCTAAGCTAAAGGTGGCTAACGTTGGGCTATAAAGGAACTACAGCACGGTCACATGACTTCACGTCACCACCGCTAAGCTAAAGGTGGCTAATGTTGGGCTATAAAGGAACTACAGCACGGTCACATGACTTCACGTCACCACCGCTAAGC